AATAATAATCTCAACCCAAGGAAGTTAACCTTAAACATTAGAACAAAAATTTTGTTTTCTTCCAAGAAAAGCCCCATAATTATGTGTTGATACATTGAGCACAAAAGAAAGGTTTATAAATATCTTGTTAAGAGGTATTGAGCAGGTATATAAATTTAACGAGAGTTTGTTTATCTGGATAGATTAATAAAAATTAAATAAAAAATATCTTATATTATTAAATATATTATTATAAAACATGCTAGCACGTGATAGCACAAGCAAACCAGCCAATCAGCAAGGAAAGACAGAGTGAAGAATTAAAGAGGCAGCAACAGTAGTCCACCAGCTACAGGACAAAAGGATACATGAAACACTAAGCAGGAGAAACAGGATCCAGGAAACCATAAGCTGAAGCCAAAAGCAGAGAAGCTGATGAGCACGTCGGGAAGCCATGCAGAAAATGCATATAATCAAAGCAAGACGCCAGACGAGAGGAGCCATAAAGAAACAACATGCCACCATAAGGACACCCCACGTGGAAAGGGGCCAAAAGCAACAAAAGAAAATAAAGGAAACCGGCCAATGAGGAGAGCACAGAACAACACTAGACAGCTTGTGAAGCATTTAAGAGTCTGTAGCAATAAATGAGTGAATTGCCAAGTCACCAGAGGATCCCCCCACGTGGTAAGAAACCACTTGCAGCTACAAAAGAAGAAGGAAAGCAACGAATCAGGAGAGCACACCACAAGCTGACAATAAGAGGCACTCCATAACGAATCAGAAGACATGCAAAACCATGCAAAAACAAGCAGAGATGAGGAGTGGTCCAAAGTTACAGCAGCCCCCGACATTGCAGACAAAAAGAGCACATCTTTATGAAATGAGAAGTGGGGGGGGAGTAAGAGACCCATCGCCTCCGGCCAAGCAAACAAACAACTGCCACCACCAAAGGCTCGACATGGGAAAACCTTCAATACCAGACAAGCTAACAGCACTGGGCAGAGACGAGAAAAAGAGAGCAAAGCACGCAACCAGCACACCTAAAGTGCAGAGATGCAAGACCAAGAAACAAAAGAGCATAACATCAGCCAATGTGGAGAGAGGTATGATCCCGCTCATGAAAATGAAAAACAGTGTAGAACAGGATCTGAAATTTACGAAAGAGAGAAGCAATGGTAGAGCACGTCCCCTCAAAAATTCTTTTATTCCTCTCCTCCTAGATTATATAGACCAGAATGCCAAGAAAAACATGCCTTATTCTGCCATCTGCATTGTTGCCGCCCCTATGAAGACCCCGAATGGCACTGCTTATGGAAGACATGGTCCGTGATATATGCAGCCAATGTTTAATCAATCGCCAGAGAGTAGTGGTCCAGTTGCAATTGAAAAAGAGGTGGCTATGAGGCTCTTCATCCACCTGGCAGAAAACACAAGATGAATTCGTTTGGGAAAATGAAGCCGATCTCGTGTGCGAAGTCTTCCCAAAACAGCCAACCACAGAATGAAATTATATCTTGGCATGGACCAGGACTCCCATACAACCTTTCTCCAATGCACGGGAGAGCTACGAACCTCAAGAACTCATAGGCATGGGCTGTGAAAGGACTAGTAGAGCTGCTCCAGAGTGCCATCAAAGAGAGAGTATGGGCTTGACCACCTACCATTCCAACAAGTTTATCTCGCAGGTTGATGATGGATTTCCATAAAGGAGAGGAACTTGGGGAAGCTGCTGTGTCTCAAAAGGTGTGAGACCATAAAATAGTAATGATGGGCCCATTGTATCCAAATAGAATCGGCTTTAAGATGAATGTTCCATATCTGTTTAGCAAGACAACTGTTATTGCGAGCTTTTATGTCAAAGAAACCCAGACCACCTTCAGCTTTAGGATAACACACTGTCCGCCAAGCAACCAAAACAGATTTGCTCCTAGAGACATTACCAGTCCACAAGAAATTTCGGCAAAGACATATGCTTTGCTTGATAATAGAATCTGGGACAGGAAATATGTTCAGCCAAAAGTGCACCATACCAAAGAGGACGGACTTAAGCAGCTTCACTCTCCCAGCATAACTAAGATGCTTCCCCAGCCAACCATTAATAGCCGATTCTAGCTTGTAAAGAAGAGGGGAGAATTGACTGACAAGGAGTCTATGAGGGCTTAGAGGAACACCAAGATAACAAAAGGGGAAGGATCCTTTAGCAAAACTAGTGTCCAAAAGAATAAGCTGCTTAATGTTGTTTGCCACACCGCCAAAGAAAATAGAGGATTTGTTGGCATTGATAACTAGACCTGAAGTCTGGCCAAAGGTGGTCAAGTGTTGAAACAGGGAAGAGACAGAATGCCTATCACCTCTTGAAAGCAAGATCACATTATCAGCTAACGCAAGATGACAAATACCGAGAGAATTACACTTCAGGTGGAAACGAAAACCAGGAGACAGAGAAGCCATATGAAGCATTCTGGAGAGA